AAGCATTAGCTCGCAACGCGAAAGTGAAAGCGTTGTTTTTAACGCGTCCCATTAATTCGATCTCTATATCTTATTACAATTATCTATGACAATTGTTGTAATATCTAAGAATAATATAATTTTCAATATTTCACGATTACTCGACGACACCGTTATCAAAAATTTTTCATTCAACTAATCACACAATATTCGAATAATACGATTTTTCTTGTACATTCGAAAGATTCGATAGAAATACAAATTTCTAATGAAATATAAATATATATATATATATATATATATATATATATATATATATATATATAGTAATCAAACTATTTTAAATATTATCGAAATACAATTAATAATGATAACAGATTAGAAAAGTTTTCTTATTCGAAAAATCCAATAGAAATACAAATATCTAATTGAATATTAAATTAAATTAAATATATATATATATATATATATATACATATACATTATATACATATAATAATTAAACTATTTTAAATATTAACGAAATATAAATAACGATGATAACAGATTAATAATCTTGTAGAGAAACTTAGAGAGACAGGGTTGGAAATTGTATCGGAAAATCGATCAGTAACAGTTTCATATTTCTCTCTCTCTCTCTCTCTCTCTCTCTCTCTCTCTCTCTCTCTCTCTCTCTCTCTCTCTTTTACTAACCTCAAACTATACATCCACTCTTTCTTTCTCTCTTACACATACACACATATATACATATATACATACGTAACACAATATCACACATTCATCTTCCGACTCATGCGCGTACATGTTTGAATTTAATTTTTTTTACTCGTCTCCTTTCTCTCTAATATCATGAATATCTATTATCTAATCAAATTCATGCACGATGTAAGAAACATTTTAACAACGAAACGTTATTCTACCAATTGTAAAAGAGAGATAAAGACAGAGAGAAACAGAGATAGAAAGAGAAAGAGAGAGAGAGAGATAGAGGGAGAGTCTGTTACATTGCATAAATGATATATTATACAATACATACGTATCTACCTATGTCTATATACCTTATATGTAATACGTCGAATAATATAGATACATTCGTCTATTAAGAATAACAATGCATTGAAATTGTAATTGAATATATGTGTAAATTACGTCTACCTATATCAACCAGCATACCTATTTTTAATACATATATTTTTACGACAATACAAGATCTTCAACACCTGACATTGCTTAAGATGTTCTCTCTCTCTCTCTCTCTCTCTTTTTCTCTCTCTTTTATGATATGAAAATAATTTAATATTAATTAGAAACAAAATATTACCTTAAACGAACAAACGCTTTATATAATATATACATATATATACGTGTGTGTGTGTGTGTGTGTATGTACATATATAAAAACATTTTTAATCATTTATTAATACTTCACATTTTTAAATTTTCTTGGGAAAAAAAAGAAAAACACAAAAAGATATTCATCACGTTTTAACTTAACATCGAATTCCTTTTTTTTTAATCAATTTTTAAAACTTCCAACAATTCGAACGAAAAGATAAAGAAAATTAAGATAATCAATTCGCAATCTTGTTTTCGTTCCTGATTGGATGATATCACGACCAATGACAAAGTTAGAATCATGTTTCCAACGAAGAAAATGGAAGGGTAAAATTTTCTTTGCCGATCGATGCGCCATCTGATAGAAAATTTTGTAAGCTTTGTCACTTTGTCGAGAACGAATGTATTCTGATAGGTTAGTACATTGAAAATGTATCTCTAAAATGTTAAAATGTACTTACTTTGTCTATTCCCTGTAGAATGTCGATAATGGAGAGAACTGTACATTTGATACATTTAGGTGAAAATAATTTTTAAAAAATTTTATTCATACTCATTTAATTCATATTTTATAATTAATAGATGTTGGTTTATTTCTTTTTTTTTTTTTTATAAATAAATATTCGCATCCACAATGCGTCCTTTTTATCATATGTATTAATATATTTCGCACGTTATCTTCGATATTATATAATTAATATAGTCTACATATGCAAAAACATATATTATATATATATATATATATCATGTATATGTATGTATAAAGAGAAAATCGAAGCTCGAGTATGGGCGCGTAAAAAAAAGTCGTCAAATTTTTTTTTTTTTAAATGTAATTAAGTATAATTCTATGTAGATATAGATCTGATTGATTCATGAATAACCAATGTTGTTATGTGGACTTTATCGGCTTATAAAAAGAACGAGATTTCGTTAGTTCGATTCCGGTGTTCGATCTTTGAAATTAATGATTGAGAACGAAAAGGAAATAATGTTGAAGAAAACGAATCGTCCTTTATCCTATGCCTTGGCATAATTAACACGCGCATTATTAATGTGATCGTTTGATCTAAAGTTTAACGTCCTTTAATGATTATGTCGTAGTTACGAAAAAAAAAAAACCAAAGATAGCAAATATTTATAACGAAAAGAAAGGATCAAATATGTAAATACATTACGTAACGGCTCATAATCCATCATGTTAATGGATATAATCCAAATGAAAAATAAAGAAAAAGGAATGAAAAATGAAAACACAAAAACAACAAGAAAACAAATAAAAATAAATTAAAAGAAAAAAAACAATAAAAAAGAAACGGAGTACGAATTTTCGTATCGTTTGCGTACTAACCAATCAAACTAAATACGTTCGACGGAACAGAGAGAGAGAGAGAGAGAGAGAGAAACTACGAAAAATTGTATCAATTCTAAATTACACGAGATAAAGGAAAAGAATAAAATAGAAAAAAGGAAAAGAGGGAAGATTCCCCGAAGGAAAGAAAAAAGAAGAAGATAAAGTAGATGAAGAAAAAAGATGGAAAGAAAAAATTAAAAAAAAAAATTAATTTTAACAACTAAAACTTTAACAATTAAAGTAACAATAATAACATCGACGAAGACGACGAGGTTGATGAAAAATATGAAAGGAAAAGAAAAAAATTGTACGATCGATTTTACGAACACGAGACTTCGAGTTTTATCCCTAGGAGCTAACTTCACGGTGCATACTTTAAAGATTGCACTTGAATAGAGTTGCACATTCTCTCTCTCTTTTTCTCTTTCTCTCTCTCTCTCTCTCTCTCTGATTCTTTCCTTTTTTCTTTCCCTCTCCCCTCTCTTTCTCTCTCTTTCGTTGTCTTATTCTCTTTCTCTCTCTCTTTCATTGACTCTCTCTCTCTCTCTCTCTCTCTCATTGTCTCACTCTCTCTGTCTGCTTTGGTGTGCCAAGATTGGTGCACACAATTAAAGAGCGACGAAACGCAACGCGACAACGACGCGACACAACTACGACGGTAACAACGACGACGACAACGACGACGACGACGATGATGCTGATGATGATTATTATTAACGTGATCGTAACAAACTATACGAAGTAGTAACGTTTGACATTTCTCTTTCGTTCGTTAACGACGCAGATCGGATACGCGTTTTTAATTATTTTCTTCTTTTTTTCCTTTTTCCTTTTTCTTTTTCTTGCGAGCAGTTTTATTTTCTTTCTTTCGCGTAATTTTCTCTCTCTCTCTATCTCTCTCTATCTATTTATCTATCTATCTATCTATCTCTTCGAGTTTCGTCCAGTCGAGGAAATACTAATATTTTGAGGTTAAAAAGATTATACATTTATATTTATGTATATATATATATACATATATATATATATATATTTATATTATATAGTACATGTGTATGTGTTCGTTCGTTCGTGTGTATTTGGTGTATGTGTGTGTCTATGTGTTTGTGTGTGTATATATATAAATGTATGTAACAATGCAATGGGCGAGAAATTCGTACGGTGAAAGTTTCTTCGTTGTAGGTTGAATCGAATCGAAAATTTAAGGTCTCTCGCTTTTCCTGCACCCTATCGTGACATTTGCGAACCTATCACGAGAGGTTTTTTGTTTTTCCTTTTTTTTTTGTTTTTCGCTGCAAGTTTCTTTTTAATTTTTTTTTCTCTCTCTCTCTATTTTTTTTTCTTTTTTTTTTTTTTTATTTCGTAGAAAAGTTTATATACCAACAGGATAAAGAGAGAGAGAGAGAGAGAGAGAGAGAGAGAGATAGAACGAAAGAATGAAAGAAGAGAAAAGAGATAGATAAAGAAGAAATAGGGAATAATTCTGTGCTTATATATATATATATATATACATGATAAATACATTCTGTCTGTTGTGTTACGCGTCGAAGTTACATATGTACATATGTATGTATGTACGTGAGTAAATAATAAAGTAGAAATGTCGTGTGTTAGTGTATTGTAAAAGAGAAAATCAAAACGGGGGATGATTATTAAATATGTTTTTCCAACGTCCGAACGGAAAATGACGAGGATCGAACGAATCCTCGAAGCCATCGATCATCCTCTGAAATGAGAGAGAAAGATAGAGAGAGAGAGAGAGAGGCAGACAGATAGAGCCAGAGAGCCAGAGAGAGAGAGAGAGAGAGAGAGAGAAAGAAAGAGAAAGACGAAAATAGTGAGGAACGCGCGTGAACGACGATAATGTCCAATCCTGACGATTGTCCTTGATAGCGATCGTATAAAAGACATTTTGGTAAGTGATTATTTATCGACGTGTATACATATATATACATGTATATATATATATGTATATGTATATACAATATGTGTATTTATTTGTATATATTTTGTATATATTTTTTGGAAGGGTTCAATTCGATTATAAATATATATATCGATAACTATGTCCTAGTGTCTAAGTGTTTATACGTTAATTGTAATAATAGTAATGCATAATCAGATTGATTATGAGGAATGTTGTTTGTAAACGAAACGACGCCTACCATCGTCTCATCGGCATCATCGTTGTGTCGTCGACTAGTTATTCTACATTCATATTATACATATACATATATATATGTGTGTGTGTGTGTGTGTATATCTGCTCTGCGTGTGTGTGTGTGTGTGTATGTGCTTCAGATAGAAGATATAAAAACGATTAGGTTTTTTTTATCATAATACGAGTCCTATCACTTCTATTGTCACGTACATACATATAGCTATACGTAAGCAAATCTATATACACGTATACGTATATACATACATACATACGTACATATATACATATATACATACATATTTCAAAACGTGATCTTGTAAGTCCGTGTCGTTCTTGGTCATGTAGTTTAGTTTAGTCGGTGATCCTTTTTTGTACGTATCACATATACAAAGAGCAATGTCTAGAATTGATAAGTACCGTCGTTTTGTGACTCCTCCCTCAAATCGGCCTATTAAGCTTCATTTGATTTCCTGCTGGTGTGTGGGGAGACCGAGGAGAAAATAATGGCAAACATTCTCGGGATATATGGATGCTTCGGTTTCTTCGTTCTCTCAATTTCATCGTCTATATATATATATATATATACATATATATAATATATATATATATATATATATACACAGTGTATATGTATATATCTGTTTCTATCTTTCTGTCTCTCTCTCTCTCTCTGTCCTTCTCTTTACTTTTCTTGCTTTATTTTTTCCTTTTTCGCCTTGTCTTTTTTACTTTGTCTTCTTTACTTTTCCCTTTCGATTACTAATAGTTGATTTTCTCTAATAAAGTGCAGTGTTTAAAACGATAAGAAAAGTTATATTATCGCTCAGTACTTGAGTGAGAGAGAGAGAGAGAGAGAGAGAGAGAGTGAGTGAGAGGGGATGAGAGGGTGAAAGAGGAAGGGAGAAATCATTCTGTTTATGCCATTTTATTTAGTTATCCGTGATCATCGTATTGTTCGTGTGTTTCTTATTTTTTCTTCTAATTTAGTTTTAAATAGTTTTTCAATAGGTTTTTTTTTCTAAATTTAAATCTTATTCTTTATTTCCATTTAGGATATTTGTTAGTGAACGAAGATGGCAGACGATGAGGGAACCGAATGGCTTCAAGAACTTTTGCACGATGTACAACTTACCCAGTTCTTTACAAGAATAAGGGACGATTTACAGGTCACCCGGTTGCATCATTTTGATTATGTTCAACCAGAAGATTTAGAAAAGATTGGATTGGGCAAGCCTGGCATTAGAAGACTTTTAGATGCTGTTAAGAAGAGACGTAATACTCAATGGAAAAAGAATTTAATTACTAAAATTAGACCCGGTGGTAGTACCAAAAGTAATAAAAGATCTTCTCAGCCTACCGAAGGATCATCTGTGCTAACATGTCTTATCCAGGACAAAGATGTGACTTTATCCATTAAATTAGGTGACGGTAGTTTTGGTGTGGTAAGGCGAGGAGAATGGATGTCACCTACTGGTCGAACATTACCTGTTGCTGTAAAAGTTTTAAAGGCTGACGCTTTGACCCAACCAAGTATTATAGAAGATTTTGTATCCGAAGTTCAGGCGATGCATACTTTGGATCATCACAATCTTATAAGGTGATGCAACTTTATTTCTATCATTGTTTTCTGTCAAAAAAAGAAAAAAAAAAAGAAAAAAGAGAAAAGAAAGAAATATCACAATTATTTAAACACAATATTCTCTCTATCGTATTTCAGGTTATACGGAGTTGTACTGTCTCAGCCTATGATGATGGTAACAGAACTTGCACCTTTAGGAGCTCTCTTGGATTATTTGCGAAAACAATTCTGCCGTATATCTGTATTAACATTATGTAATTATGCATTACAAGTAGCAACTGGTATGGCATATTTGGAGGCCAAACGTTTTCTTCACAGGGATCTAGCTTGCAGGAATGTTCTTTTAAGTACAGTGGATAAAGTGAAAATAGGCGATTTTGGTTTGATGAGAGCGCTGCCTCAACAAGAGGATTGTTATGTTATGACGGAACATAAGAAAGTACCGTTCCCATGGTGTGCTCCTGAATCTTTAAAGGCACGGCAATTTAGTCACGCTTCGGACGTATGGATGTTCGGCGTGACGTTATGGGAAATGTTAACGTTCGGAGAAGAACCATGGGTTGGATTAAATGGATCAGAAATTCTTCGTAAGATAGATAGAGAGGGAGAAAGATTGCACGAGCCTGAAGCAATGCCACCTGTAATGTATGATCTTATGTTACGTTGTTGGGCCAGAGAACCCTCGGAAAGACCAAGTTTTGCTTCTTTGAAAGAATTGTTAACTGGAATGGTACCGTCGATAATGAAGGCCTTAAGTGATTTCGAGGAAACTGAAAAAATGACTATTGAGCAGGGTGATCAAATCGTTATCATAGATGGTAGACCTGAAAATTATTGGTGGAAGGGACAAAATCAAAGAACTTATCAAGTTGGTCTATTTCCTCGTTGTTTGGTCGATCCAATGAGAAAGAAGCAACCAGAGGATATTAGTAAACCTTTAGAAAATTCTTTTATTCATACGGGACACGGTGCTCCCTTTGGAAAAAGTTGGGGTAGTCCTATTTATATAGATGATGTTTATCTACGAAATCCAATGGAACCGCCAGACATCGTAGCTGTGGCCGGTGTTACGGATAATCAAAAGAAAAAATTTTCTTGCGGCACGCCACGTTCTCGTAAACAATTTAATTACACGAAACTACAAAACGACATAAGGGCTAGTCCTGTGAAATCAATTGTTCCTGTACCTGGTACCAGTCAAGAGGGTAGTCTAATAGATTTATCACCAGAGGAAATAACTAATACAAATTCATCTCACTCTGATACAACATGTCGACGTGTTATTAATATTCTTGATGAGCCTATAGAAACGGTCGAAACGAACCCAAGAACCCAAGAAGAAAATAATCAACAGGAAGATCCTCGAACGTATGCTAATTTCCCGGGTAATCTGGATCCAACATATTCCGATCCATTTGATACCTCTTCCGTATTTATGAAACCACCGCATTCTCGTTATTACAGTCACGTACCATCCGATCTGACTAATCATTATAATAAGACCCAATCGTATGGAAATATTCAGAATGAAGAAGTTAGTACCAATCAGAATATAAATGTTAATCAATATTCGACGAATTTGAGTAAGAATAGTATAAATGAAAGTGTTAATTTAAATGTTAATGTTAATAATTCAGAAGGCAATGCTTTCCCAGAAGACTATTATAGTGAAATCGATAAACTTCAAGCCCCATCTGTATCGAATTGGACAAGTTGGCCGGAAGACTTGCAAAGTGATACTACACAAACTTATGCTAACGTTGCAAGTCATAATTTACCAACAACTTCCAATGGACAGCCATCACCTCCACTGCCACCGCCATTGCCACCTCCTCCCCCTCCTATAGGTCCTAATGAAAGTCCACCCAAGCCTAAATCTAATCACGATCTTGCCCAAAATTTAAGCGAATTAAATATAAATTCGCAGAATGTTACTTCGCCTAAAAAATTGGATCCGGCGTTTCTTGCTGAATTAGAAAAACATTTAGGTGAGAAGGAAGCAAGTAAAAATACTAATGCCACTCAACAACATTCTAACGAATCGCATACGTATACGTTGATCAATAAGTTACAAGATAATTCGACTATACCGGCACTGCGCCCACCACCGCAATCGATAAAACCAAAATCTCCGCAAATGGATCAAAGGACGAGCATGCATCTACCTAGCAAAGTGCAAAATTCGATGCAATCTAAAAATACGAATATACAAAAACCAATGGTGCAACAAGAGCATCGTTTCGTTGAAAGCACTACGGATGCCATTGTAGGACAAATGTGGCAACAGGCACACTCTCAAGTACACTTGCAAAGTAATTATTCCGTATCAACAGATCCAAATGTTAATCGCATATCACCGGTCGTAAATATGCCACAGATAAACGTTAATTTACTTCAAGTTGCTCCTAGTAATTTAATTCACGCGACGAGTAACTTGAATAGCTCTCAATACGGTTCTAAAAGTGCCACAGAAACGACTTCCAATCACGCGCAAAATTTTACATCCACGAGTCAGAACTACTTCCAGCAACAAAACGTTCCCCTTCTAACTATAAGCCGTAATCATGGAATAACACAAATACAAAATGATTTACAACAGGCGCAATCATCTAGTGCCACCAATACAAATACCATTTCAAAGCCCGCTATGTTTGCCACTGGTACAATGTTTTCAGAACAAGTGTACGTTGAATTGAAACAGACAGTACCTAATTTAGAACAATTATCTCAAAATGAATTTAATACCCTTTATAATAAGACTGTTCAACAGAATATACTCAGAAATTATTATGCTTCTGGTGCATCGCCAGCGAATACCATTGTGGATCAAAATCTAAGTCATAGTCATGTAAATTATCAAGATACAGCTAGCTATAATCTTCAACAACAACAACAAATTCAAGCTGTTCAAGCATCTAAAAACTATGCACTTCAAAATCATCCTTGTGATTTTAGCCCACATTTAAAGCAACCGCCTGTATATAATCCTCCGCCTGCTTGGAGTCCACTTAAATCGGTGCAAAATGGTTTTATAAGAAATCAGCATACCGCAACGAAATCAAATTTAACAGCTAATCAGAGTGGGAATTCAAATGTATTGCAGTCCGTACATATTAAGTCGCCGCATCAAACTAATGCCACAACGTCACAAACATTACCAATACGCAATGTACAGTCTCACATGAACGAAACTGTTATCAATACTCAATTAGCACCTTCCACGTCGGCATATCCATCTGGTGTTAGTCCGCCTTTGACAGGAGCTTCCCAGCAATTAGTTATGTCTCTCAATGATGAATTTCGTGCAACTAAAATAATGAGAGTACAAAGAGATATAGCGGATGCGTCGCAACAAGAAATTTTAGCTGCGTTACAAGCCACTGGATGGGACACGGCACAAGCGGTCAAACAGATTATGAAAGATAGACTCGTTAAATTAGAATCTCTTAAGAGGTAAATTTTTATATCATGTTTAATATTAAAAAAAAAAAAAATATATATATATATATATTATACCGATCTTAATTTATATTATTAACATTTTTATTATATTGTTATAGGCTAGGTTTGGCAGATAGACAGCAATGCGAAAATGCTCTTAAGCAGACTGATTACGATGTAGAAAGGGCGGCTTCACTGCTACTAGATCAAGCTAAATAAAAAATAAATATGAATTAAATTGAAAAATACAAGTGACATTAATATGAAGTATTTCATGATTGAAAGTACAGTAATTTCAGTTCTTTTTTTTTTTTTTTTTTTTCTTTTTTTTTGAATGCTTAAAAAAATGTTTATAGAGTATATTTGACCTTAGAAATTGTTATTTTATCGAAGGGTTCATTGCTCTGATATTTAGAAAACGTTGCATTCCAATAAGACGATAAAGAACAAATTTGGAGTATGCAGTTCTACTTAATTGTACAGCAAATGGCCAAATAGAGAAGGGAAATGTTTTTATTCCATTAAGCGAAAAATGATATTGCATAATGTTTATGCATAATAATTATTCAGATATAAGCGAAACGCAAAATGAAAAGATGTGATGTTGTTCTCTCGTCATATTATTTTGAAGATATATATATATATATATATATATATATATATATTTATTTACAAACACACACACATACACGCGCATACATATATACATTTTCAACGAAAAAGATTGATTATGCTCAGTGAACAGTCCTTCAAATTAATTTCATACATATATATTTAATAGCTATAAGAAGGCTGCTGTATTATACCTAACTTGTTTTAAAGTTAGACATTATTCGATTAGTGCGGTTTATTCAAATGTATTGACCTTTAAAGAGTCGTATTAAGATTATTAAGGTCGTTTTCTAATTATGACCATGATTACGGAAAAAGAAAAGAAAACACAGAAAGAAAAAAAGCAGAAAAATGATAAAACAAACAGTGTTGCGAAAAAGATCAATCTGAAACTGTGATATGCGTTACTAAAGGCTCTAGGTGGTATTATTGAAAAAAAAGAAAGAAAAAAAAAAAAGAAAAAAATAGTATTCTTCTCACTTTCTTTTTATTATTACCGAATGTGAACATTTGTTGGTCCATTAGATAAATCGACAAAAAAAAAAAGAAACCGGAAAAAAAAGAAATAGAAGTGTACATAATAACTAGAATTATAAATAGAACGAGATAATTGAGTTTTTAATTTAGAAAGTCTAAAGATTAGATATGTATTTGTTGCATACGTTTATCGTATGTTTACGTAGAGACTTAAAACTGGTGATAATATAACGATCAACATGATAATAATATTGGCGCGGGCAAGTACAAAATTACAAAAAGAGGAAAAAAAAAGAAGAAGAAAAGGGGAAAAAAAAATTATGATATAAATGGCGTAAACATAATTTGTGTCCGATAAATATAAATATATAATTCGAATTACAATGATTTATTTAAGTGTAAGTATTTGTGCATAAAAAAGAAAAACACAAAAAAAAAAAAAAACAGAACGTAATGTTGTAATATAATCATACGATGTAATAGCTCTCTTATATTATGTTGCTCTTTTAATTTATTTTTTAAATAATACAAAACGTATATATATACATATATGAATATATATATATATATTTTTTGTTGATAGCGCGATGTAACTAAAAGCGCTCTTATAATTTCATTAAATAACATGAACGAGTCAATTGTCACGATTATTGTATTTTATTTTATTTTATTTTTTTATACCTCTACTCCAAATTAAGGCCTTAATTTTTATTTGAAAAAATTTTTAGAAATATACCGTTCAATCGTTCGCTCTTAATGAGTCTTAATTAATGTGATATTGTTAAATTAAAAAAAAAAAATAAATGTAATTTGTATGTACATTCAAGATGTAACATTCTAGACTCGTTCGAATAGACGATTTTATAAAAATAAATTTATTTATTATTAGATTAGTTTAAATGTTAAAATAATTTCTGAGTAAAATGCACTAGAAAATTTTAATTTCTTTATTAAGATTTTTATTCATAAAGAAGAAACAAATTCTTTTTTCTTTTTTTTTTTCTATTTTTAAACATTTAAATTTTGCTTCGACATTTCATTGGTCTTAGAATAACAGTAGTAATAATAAATAAAAAAGAACGAAAAATATAATCTAAGCAAGTTTATACATCGATATTATTACCGCATGGTGGAGACACTGTTCCCAGCTTAAGCTTGTAGTTCATATTTTGTCCGTGACAGTCGTTGAAGTAACACGCGCTTCGAGCGAGAGGTGATGAATGGCCTTGATTATTAACTATTTATTTATAATAATTTTTCTGAAAGAATAAAAAAGGAAAAGTGACGAGTTTATAATTTTTATTTTGTTTTTGTGCAGATACATAAATTTGATAGCCCTGTTAAATACACGCTGCATTTTATATCCATCAATAGTAGAATGACGCATGATGAACGAAATAATTAATATTCGAATAATTATTTTCAAACAATTCTTCTCATTGAGATAATAATTTTGTATAGATCATGTCTGTGGTAATCGAAACTACGATAGGTGATATTACAGTAGATTTGTTTATCGAAGAACGTCCACAGAGTAAGTTGAAATATTTATGTTTTCTTCGTATAGGTTAAGTTTAACATTTATATGAATTTCTTATTAATTAGATATAGATACGATTTTAACAATTGTATATTATTAATTTTTTAGCATGTCGAAATTTTTTAAAATTATGCAAAATAAAATATTACAATTGGAATTTATTTCATTCGGTACAAAACAATTTCATCGCTCAAACTGGAGATCCTACGGGTACTGGGAAAGGTGGAGAAAGTATTTATGGTATAGTATTGGGTGAACAAGCTCGATATTACGAGGCCGAACAAATGCCAAAAATTAAACATACCAGAAGTGGCTTGTTATCTATGGTTAATTGCGGCGACAATATGTTAGGATCGCAATTTTTTATCACGCTCGCACCGGATCTATATTCTTTAGATGGTGAACATTGCGTGTTTGGGGAAATAGTAGAAGGACTTGAAATTATTCTAAAATTTAATGAAACTATTTGCGATGGAGATTATAGACCTTATCAGGATATACGTATATCTCATACCGTTATTTTAGAGGATCCATTCGATGATCCGAAAGGTTTAGAAATACCGGATATGAGTCCAGAACCTACTAAAGAGGCATTGATGGTAATGTAATTAAAATAAATTTTTAAAGGAAATTGTATTTTTCTTTACAAGTAAATTTTATAATATTTAACAATATTAAATATTTTTATAGAGCGATAGAATTGGCGCGGACGAACTCATAGATGATACAGCGGGAATGTCCGTGGAGGAAGTTATGGAAATGCAAAAGGATAAAGAAGCAAAGGCACGTGCTACAATATTAGAAATCGTTGGGGATATACCGGATGCTGATATCGCACCGCCAGAAAATGTTTTATTCGTTTGTAAATTAAATCCTGTTACTAACGACGATGATTTAGAAATTATATTTAGCCGTTTTGGCAAAATTATTGGGTATGTATTTATTATATATTTTATATAATCTATCTGTAAAATAATATTTTAATGTATATTAATAATAAGCAAAATTTATAGATGCGAAGTAATAAGAGATAGACAAACGGGTGATTCTTTGCAATACGCATTCATTGAATTTGCCGAACGTAAAAGCTGCGAGGAAGCATATTTTAAGATGGACAATGTTTTAATCGACGATAGAAGAATACACGTTGATTTCTCTCAGTCCGTAGCAAAAATGAGATGGAGGGGTAAAGGGAAAGGTATTAAATATTATGACGATAAGGAGATAGAGGAGAACGAGGATAAAAAAGGTTATGATCGTTTTCACGAGAAGAACGATCATCGAAATAACAAACGTTATCATGAAAAAGATGAAAGATCCAAGAGGAAAAATAACAATGATGGAAGACACGAAGAAGATATATTGGAACATAGGAAACATCAGTATAGAAAAAATGATAATAGAAGTGATCGAGAACGTTCTCGCGATATTAGAAATTATGTTTCAGAAAAGGATAAAGATAGGGAGAATAGGAGGAGGGATGATACGTATGAACATAGGAGAGAGAAGGAGAAGAAAAAGAAAAAGGATAAGACCGATGTTAGTAGGAATAAAGATAAAAGTAGAGAGAGAAATAGAGGTAGGAGTAGAGAAAGAAACAGGGATAAAAGTAGAGAGAGAAAGAGTGATAGAAGTAAAGAGAAAAGTAGATATAGAGAGAGAAGCAGAGATAGAAAACGTTAAAAATATAAAATATGAAAGTATTTGTTTAAGAAATAATTTAATACAACAAACAAATCGATTTAATAAAAAAGGATATATGTATACTCATACATATATCATATATATATTATATATAAATACACAAAACGATATCCTTTGATTTCCATTTTCTAATTGCATTTATCGTAAGTCGACCAATCAGATCATTCTTTAAAATGACTGACTTATCATGAGTTGGTAACACTGCGTGGAATTACTCCGTTTATAGATAAAGTAGATGTGGAAATACATTGGCAGGTGTAAGATATCAAATTTTTACGTGAACGCGTGTGATTTTTTTCCTATTAATAAAATCCTTAATATATTATTTAGATATCGTCTGAAACTTCGTACGTCGTTGGAAATTGTATCTACGTCTTTTGGTGAGTATTTATTAACGTTCCTTATGTTCATCATGTGTTTTAAGGTTATGTCGATATCGTATACACACATATTACGAGTTTCGTAATTTTTATATAAATGTTGATTAACTCATTTGATTAAATCGTATGAGGACTTTTTTTGATTATTATTATTACTATTATTTTTTTTTTTTTTTCAAACGAAAAATATTACCTATAATTCATTTGTGTCATTATTACAAACATTTATCGATAGAGTAAATTATGCGTACTTATACATAAACTGGACACTTAAACTTCGTCCCTTTTATTCCGGCGCACAATTTGAATTAATCACACGCGCATTAAGTTTTATTTAATAATTAGTATTTTCATACTTTCTTTTGTCCTCCGAAGAGAGAAAGAGAGAGAGAGAGAGAGAGAGAAAAAGAATAGAATGGTCATGAATAGACAATAATAATATAAAACGTTAGCCTCATCAATGAGTTTTCTTGTTAGACAGTTTTATTATTTGTTATATCATGTCGAAATACATGCGTTATTTAACACTTACACATCAAAATTTAATAATAATACCTTCGAGTCTTGAGTCTCCTATTTTTACATGCTCGTTCTATGTGATCGTATAGAGGACTGGTAGGAGGGATTAAGCGTTTAATAAAATTAGCAATTGATTGTCGAAGGAGTAATAATAATAACAATAATATTAATAATAATAATAATAATAATAATAATAATAATAATAATAATAATAATAATAATAATAATAATAATAATAATAATAATAATAATAATAATAATGAAGAAAATTTTGTTTAATTTCTTGAGGTTTTTCGTATTTATAATTGTATACATATATATATTTTATTTTATTTCTTTTGCACGTCGAAATACGTAAGTACTGTGAATAAACTTAATCGAAACCGCCATTACGTGTCTCCGTTTGCCACCATTTTGTTTTATTTCTTTTTTTTTTCTTTTCTTTTTCTTTTTTTCTTCTTTCAAGGTGGTAACATCGCACGACGTCGAGAGGAACGTATAATAATAGGTAATGGGGAAAATCCATTGTTTACATACACATATATATATACATATATATATATACATATATATATATATGTCTTTTATGTATGCGTATATGTATATTCGTAACATATCCTTGTACATTTGGTTAAAAATCACTAACCACAGGTACGTCTCGTGTGTGTAAATAAATGTAGCATTTATTTATAAAAAAAAAAAAAAAGGAAGGAAGTAAAAGAAGAGAGTGAGAGAGAGAGAGCGAGAGAGAAACAGAGAGAAAGAGAGAGAGAGAGAGAGATAAAACATTAAAGCGACGACGTGAAAAAGAAAAAGAGAAATTATTTTTTTAAAACGAGAAAGACTTTACAAAAGTTAAAGACATTAAATAAATATGAAGTAACACGACGCATAGGAAAACAGAGAAAATATTTTTCTTTTCTATTTCGAAGAAACGAAAAATAATTATATAATAACAATGTATATTTATAAATAATTTAATGAAGGGTGCAGACGGCCATTTTCTTCTTTTCCTTTTTTTTCCCTTTCTTTTTTTCTTTTTCCTCGCCGTTAAACTTATTGTTAAATTTATTCTAATTCGATGTTCGGTTTATACGGTAAACGCAAGAAGAATACTTTTGTGAACAAACGCACAGTCTCGTGTATTTTATATATATATATATATAAAATAATTATATATATATATATATATAATTATTATATAAAAATATTTATATATATATATATATATATATATATATATATATAAAATAAGCTGATCGCGTTCGAATACTATTAAATTATTAATTTAATTTAATCGCACGTATATTGTCAACCCGAAATAGGAATATATATATATATATATATATATATATATATATATATATATATATATATATCTATGTATACTGATATCGCATAAAATTCTTATTTTAATCCGCAAATTATTGTTCAGATAATTTCATCGACGCATTTTCCTTTTTTTTTCTTTCCTTTTTTTTCTTTTCATTATTTTACCGTTCGTTCATAAGAAATTAAAAAAAAAAAAAAAATCAAAGAAAAAAAAAAAGAAACAATAGCAGAAATAAAAAATAAAAAAAAAAACTTGTAAATCCCGCGGCTTTTGCACCCTTTTCTTACTTAAAAGCTAACCAATAAATACATGTTCGCCATTACCACGAATCGTCGAATGGCACGTCGGGGACACTCTACTCTTCAAGAATTATACGTGCTTTTTCTTTTTTCTATTTGTTTCCTTTATCTTCATTATCTTTATCTTTAAGTACAGATATATATATATATATATATATATATAATATGTATGCATGTGTATATATATATATTCTTCTCCTTTCAAATCGATGGCCGAATTATATCGAAAAACTTTTCTTAGATATTTTGCTTTGTTGGCTTTATCCTTTATTATTAACGTAATTCGTTACATGTGTCCAAATGTTATATTCTTTTCAAGATATATCTTCTTTGCGAAGAAGATAATATTTTATAAGCTGTATTTATAATAGACGAATCTATATACATATATACATATATACATATATATATATATATATATATATATATATATATGTATATATAGGAGACAAGCTTTTATTTTTTTGTTTCATTTAAATTTTTCGTGAAGAGTTAAAGAATATCCGAACGACGTGAATACTTTTTTTTTTTTTTTTTCTTAAATCCTTCGTTTATCAATAATAAAATATTTTTCATCTAAAGCGCTCAGTGTGTGCTATAATCGAGAATTTTTTCCGGCACGACATATAACATTATTCACAACAATGCTCACGTTAAGTGTCACGCGAATTTCATCGAACATATTATTTCCACTTGATATTCGCTCCTAGATATATCGATTTGTCCGAATCTTCTTCTTTTGAGTTGTTGTTGCATTTTTTTTTCTTTTTTAATTTCTTTTTTTTAACTTTTTTTTCTTTCTGTTTTTTTTGACTTTTTCCTTCCCTTTTTTTCATTTCTTTTTTTTTTTTTTTGTAATATATATTCTCCTTTCTCTTTTTTAATTTTTTATTTATTTTTTTATTTTTTTTTTTATCTCCACTATACTCGATTTCATTTCTCCGTTCATTTGGACATTTCCTGAATTTTTTTTTTTTTATTTTTTCATTTTTCACCATTCGTTGCTTCTTTGTTCCCTCTCTTTCTTGTGCTGGGTAAATATTTTTTTTGTGCTTTTTTTTTTTTTTTTAGGTATTTGTTTTTTATCTTTTTTTTTCTGCTTTTGTTACTCGTTAAAAAAAACATTCATTCATGTTCTTCCTTTTTTTTTGTTTTTTTTTTTTTCCCTTTGTTTTTTTTCTAAGGCGATGTAGCAGCGCACCACGCGAAAAAGAGAAAGGTATAGACAGATAGATAGAGTAAGAGTGGAAGAAACGGATAGATAGATAGATAGATAGATAGGTAAGTACATAGATAGTTAGATAGTTAGGTAGATTGGTAAACGAGAGACACAAGTAGGAAGGAGTTCGATGATTTTCGCCGCGAGCATCGTGTAACTGGATTTACAGTTGCCTTTTGCGTCCCATGTTGCAGATCTTGAAGTGACAGAGGCTCATGTCTAGAAAAATATGAAAAAAGGAGAGAGAAATCAAAAATACGGTCAGGTATTATTAAAAAGGTTAATCACAATTATTATTATTATTTTTTAATAAAATTTCTTTATATTACGTTATAGAAAATTCTTTTTTCCGATAGAATTGAAACTTTTCAAGATGGCCGATTTGATCCTATCGATCCATTCGATCATTAAAACGAGCATTAACGTTGACGAATTAATTAATTAATTAGTCTGAAATTAAAAAAAAAAAAAAAAAAAAAAAAAAAATTTCGAACGAAAATATGAAACGAGATGAAACGCAATATGGGGTGAGATTTAAATTATAACCAAAACAATTTAGGACTTTGTCAAACGTGACGGCAACGATCGATCTGGCGCCGATTTTATTAATGAGAGTAATAGTAATCGGATCGACGATCATGGATATCGATCGATCGTTCCCGATTTATTATATTCATCTAAGGGTGATCGTCGTCGTAGTCCTCGTCTTCGTCCTCGTCGTCGTCGTTGGTCAATGACGTCACTCGTTCGTCGTCACCCCCCTCCCTCCCACCCTTCTTGCCCCCCTCCGAGAAAAGTCAATTGGCGTCAATGAATTGCCCGTTTGTCTTCGATTTTAATCGATTCGTCGAAAATAATAATAATAATAGTAATAATAATAATGACGACGAGGACGACGACGATGACGACGACGACCACGACGACAACGATGATGATGATGATGATGATGATGATAATGATGATGATGATGATGATGATGATGATGATGATGATGATGATGATGATGATACTGATATAATAATAATAATAATAATAATAATAATAATAATAATAATAATAATAATAATAATAATATAAAAATATATTCTATTTAAGAGCGAGCCAATGATATATCTCCATTTGAGGCATTTTGATGAAATTGTTTTTCAAAGAATCAATTGCTTTCAAATCAATTCTTTGAAAGTATAATTATTATCGCGTATAAATTATTTATCATCGTCATCGTTTATTTCATCTTCTTCGTCATCATCATCATCTTCGTGAACATCATTCATCATCATCAACATTATTATTATTATTATCATTTTCGCTGTCGTCATTATATAAATATGGAATCGGCTGGATTGTCCATTTTGTTTTCCACAAATTTATTAATTTATCAACGAATCACGTGGTTCGATTTTACTTGCGATTTATCGTCCTCGTATTATCAAGAATTACATAATTTTTTTTCTGTTTCTCTCTCTCTCTCTCTCTCTCTCTCTCTCTCTCTCTCACTCCCTCCCTCTCTTTCTTACGTCGATAACGTAAATCTTAATTTTTATCGATCTTCCGAAATCCTCTTACATTTTTTTTTTTACGTTAAACTACGCCAATGTGTTTCACGAGTAGAAATAAGAAAAAGAAAAAGAAATTTTTTTTAATAAAGTAAGTCTCTGTGTCATATAAACACAGACACTTACAAATGCCCTATTAAAAAGTAATGTACAAAAATTAAATGAAATTATGAACGAACTTGTTCATATTATTGATATCTGTTGTACTATATTCATCGTGCGAGCAGTAATCATTGAAAAAAGGAAAAAGAAAAAAAAGAAAAAGAAAGGAAAATATGACTACAATATTGTGAACGGTTTATTATTATTATTATTGTTATATATTGTGATGCGATTCAAAAAAGTAATCGATCATTTCCCATTAAAAGTTTATGGAAAAAGTTTATGATATGTGAAGGTAGACATTTTTAGTACTCGTAAGAATTCTAATAAGCACTCGACGAAATTTTTAAGAAAATCACAAGGTTTTTTTTCCTTTCTCTTTTTTCTTTCTTTTTCTTTTTTGAATTTCCTTTTTTAAATTCCTTTTTCACACATTGTAATATGATAACGTAATGTGGAACAAGTGTATGCTCGTCATATCATTTGATTCTTTTTCTTATAATTTTTTTTTTTAATAACAATGCACTTTTGAGTAGTACGTTTGTATGATATTTTTTTTTTACTTTTCTTTTCTTTTATCTTTTATCTTTTTTTTTTTTTTCTTTTTCTATCGTAATATATACATATCGCAGAAAGTAAACATATCGCAGAAGATAACGAAGATGTTGATGGGCAAAGGAAGAGTTGGGAGGGAGAGGGTGAGAAGAAAATCCTGGATCATCCTGTATACATCCTCTATATAAGATGATTATAAACTACTGATCTCTCTACTGGTTAATACGTTTCATTTTCATTTTAACGTAAAGAGTACCAATGTTTTTATCTTCTTCCCTTGAACATATATATATATATATATATATATATATATATATATATATATATATATATAGTCTAGTTTTGTGTCTTAAAAATAATAATGATGATGACGACAACGACGACTGTCGATCCTTTGAATTTCTTTCGTAGAATTCTTCGAAGTATTTTTTCTTTTCTTTTCTTTCTCTTTTTTTTTCTTTCTCTCTTTTTTTTCTTTTTTTTTCTTTTTTTTTTTTTTTTTACCGACAATGAAAACTTTTCTATCTTCTCCTTGACGTATGATATAAGAGATAAGATAAGACATGAAGGCAAAGTTAAGAAATCGAAGTGTCGACTTGTTAACAAGATCTTATTGAATAAAATGATCGTTAGATCAATACTTTTGCCCTCACGCAGATTTATACGTCAAACACTTTAATTATAATAGATCGTAGATAATCCACAATAAGCTTTTACAATTGATACAGCTAACTGTAGTATTATTATTATTATTATTATTATTATTATTATTATTATTATTATTATTATTATTATTATTATTATTATTATTATTGACGTTGTCGTTGTTGTTTTATTTATTTATTTATTTATTCATTTATTTATTTATTCATTTATTAAAAGACAAGACCAACTAATATCATAATTAACATTTTGATCTCGAAATATTCCGGCATGAATTTATATGATCGAACGAATGGTTGTTCTTAGAAATGAAGATTATCTTCGAATTCAAAAATAAAAAGGCAATTCACGATACTATCGTAATGATTAAATAAATGAACGTTCTTCATCGTTATATATATATATATATATCATCGCATGAAATTCGATTTATAGAATCATTATCCATTATTATTTATATGCGATGCATACATACATATATAATAAGATGTATAAAATAAATATAAAAAAATAACGAGTCTGAATATTATCGCGATCTCAATGACAGAAACATGATGTGATCAATGATGACGATCGAGAAAAAGGATTGCAATTTATATATATATATATATATATATATATATATATATATATATAAAAGAAAGAAAGAGTTAGAAATTAAACTCACAGCTCGTTCGTTTGACTGAACCCAAAGGTGCATGATGAACTATAGCACTTGGTACCGGAAGTGCTTCCGGTTCATCCGGTGGATAATCACCCTGAGACAGACGTTGATCTCTTGCCTTTTCTTCCAGCATTGCCTGAATCGTAAGCTGTTCCTCTGTCAGTTCTCTTTCTTGGTCTATCATCTCTTGTTTTCTCTCCGTCAGCTGTTTTAGCCTATTGAGCAGAAGCTGCAAACGCAAAATGAGTCAAATAAAGAAAGGACATTTTTAATATTCACGAATCTCCTTTGAGATTATTATTAGAAAATATTTATATTCGATTTAATAATACGACTTTGGAGAATTGTTTTCTTAATTCTTAATTTTTAATTCGTTTTTATTATTTTTCTCTTTTTTTATTTTTTTTTTTTTTTAAGGTTGCGAAATAACATAAAAGGAAGAAAAAAAAAATGAAATGAAGTTAAAATCTACGAACGAAATTGATAGAATTTTTTAATTGATTGGACGATTAGAAAAATTTCTAATTGGTGGATATGTAATACGTATTTGATAAATTATTTTTTTAACCTTCTCATTTAAGAAAAAGAAATATATATATATATATATATATATATATATATATATATATCGAAATAGTAGTCGGAGTAATATTATCGAAAAAATAAAAAAGAAAAATAGAAAAAAAAAGGAAGATCTAATCTGCTAAGAAAAATGATAGAATTTGAAATTGATTCGTTGATTGAAAAAAAACTCGAGAGAATATAATAGAAGATTCCGATAAAATGCGTATTGGAGAATTTTGTTTTTTTTTTTTTTTTTTTTTTTTTTTCTTTTCGTTCCAAATAAAAAAGTAAAAAAGTAAAAAAGATCTAACTCTCACCAGACTCTCCGTGTCCTCGGCAAAATTTTCGTTAGTATAGATCATGCCTGCTGGTAAGGGCTCGGGTTCAGCGAATACAAGAATGTTGCTGTAAACCAGCAGAAACGCAACGAGACACGAGCTCGTCATTCCCTCAAAAACTTTTTATTCCTGAAAAATAAAAAGGAACAAGTTAACGAAAGTCGCAAAAAATAATGAAAGGAAACAAATAAAAATAATCGTTCAATAATTCTTTTCTTTTTTCATTTATTATTATTCTTTAATTTTATTTAATTGTCGTCTCCATTCGATCGAATAAATTTTTTATTACTTCAAAAAAAAAAAAAAAAAAAAAAAAAAAAAAAAAAAAAAAAAAAAAAAAAAAAAAAAAATCAATCTCAAAGTCTTGTTTTACGTCTTAAGATTTTTAGTATGTTTCGAGTATCTATCATTACATATGTATGAATGAGTATCTCTACTAGTATCTACGTTACTTATGAATGTGCATACATACATGCATGTATGCGTGCGTGTTAGTAGAAAGGAATGAGTGAATAAAGGAATGAATGAATGAATGAATGAATGAATGAATGGAATATTGACAATGATTGTACTCGAATAATCACGTGGGTGTTCGTTTCCAAGTATTTTACGTAAATAGACAAACAATGTATTGTTTATCTTGTCGTTTGGGATAAATCAATATCACCGATGATATATTGATTTTTGTCAGATTTCTTTGCTTTTCTTTTTTTTTTCTTCTCTCTCTCTCTCTCTCTCTCTCTCTCTCTCTATCTATCTATCTATCTATCTATCTATTTATCTATCTATCTATCTATCTCGCTCTCTTTCTTTTCTCTTTTCAATTTCTTATATCATCGTACACTTTTTTCCTTTTTCACGTCTTCATGGAAAAAAGAAAAAAGAAAAAAGAAAAAAAAAAAAGAAAAAAAAAATCAATACCATTCAACGCGTGAAAAATTTCCTTTAATAGTAAAATGAAAGATCAGATTAAAGGGGCAAGTCGAATAAAGTGTATTATATTTTAGTAACACCCTATATACCACGTATGTGTGTGTGTATATACAAGCGATGCAACAAGTGGGAGAACTATTATATAACGAAAGCTCACTTCACAATCTGTCTAAAATATTTTTTTTTAATATTTTTCAAGCTAATATTTCAAAATTTATTTGAATTGTTTCTTTGTTTTCTTCTTTTTCTTTTTCTTTTTTTTTTCTTTGTTATTTAATAGGACGGAAATACAAAAACAATGGCAATTAATTCAAGTCGTATAATCATAATTCTAATGTATCTTCTATGTTTAATGATTTCATCAATTATTTGATAATATAATAAGGAAAACAATTACGTTTGTTGTAACACGTATATCATTTGATATAGGAAATTTGTCTCTCTCTCTCTCTCTCTCTCTCTCTCTCTTTCTCTCTCTCTCTCTCTCTCTCTCTCTTTCTCTCTGTCTCTCTCTGTTTTGTATAACTAATATCTCGAAATTGTTCTACACAAAGCATAACTCTCGGGAGCTACTCATTTAGCATAACTTCCTATCTCATTAAGTTTCTCAAATAAGATCCAAATAAGATCCTTTAGGAAAGCATATTATTCCTTTGACAACCGACATATTATAAATTACACATAGGAGATTTAATTAGCTTTACTTTGGAAAATATTAATTGCACTATAATTTGAACATTTCGATAATTTGATCGTTTCGAATTCGTCGTCTCGTTCGTTAGTTGTTTAAAAGAAAAAAAGAAAAAAAAAAAACAAAAAACAAAAAAAAAGAAAGAAAAAGAAAAGAAAAAAGAAAAATGGTATAATTTCCCTTACATTGCACGATTTTCTTTCTATATGAATAATGTAAGAAATTGTAAAAATACACGTACACACACACACACACACACACACACACACACACACACACATGCACATACGCAGGCACGCGTGCGCGCACACACACACATACAGATATATATGTATATAGGAAATATAGCGATAGGAAATTTATCGAGTTCGGTGGATAATCCATGATGACCCCGTGGAAGAGCTCGCGAATTGATTTAATTCACACTTTTTTACAGGTTTATTGTACTCTGACGACTTGATAAAGTTATGTCAGAGAGTACAGACGAGAAACAATATTTTTTTAACGACGTATTCAAAGTCGACTTTTAATTATGCAATATTGACAAATTTCATTTTGCAATTTTATGCTCGAATTCGACGAATCTTTTATTTAATTGATTATTATCTTTCTTTTTTTCTTCTTCTTTTTCTTTTCCTCTTTTTTGTTTCTTTTTTGTTTCTTTTTTTTTTTCTTTTTTTACGCGACACATTTATAAAAAAAATATTACATAAACTTTTCACGATAGAATACATGTAACGCGATTGGGCAACGCAAAATAGAAAAACTGAAAAAAGAAAAGAAAAAAAGAAAGAAAGAAAGAAAGAAATAGAGAACATTTTTTTTTTAAACGATATACTTGATCAACTTTTGTATTATGCAATATCAACAAATTTCGCACTTCGCAATTTTACGTTTGAATTTGACGTGTCTACGATTTTATTTTTCACTTTTGACACTTGAAAAATGTTAAATGTATTATTCAAACGATCATTTCTTTTTCTTTTTTACGTGACATATTTATAAACAAATTTTACGTAAACTTTCTCTCTCTCTCTCTTTCTCTCTCTCTCTCTTTCTCTCTCTCTCTCTCTCTGTTTTTATTATTTCGATTTCTCCGATTTAGTTCGTACTATTTCTCTGATTCTATATATCATCTCCGATTTCTCGCAGTTTTTATCTTTTCAGATTCATGATTTCTTTTCAAGCCATTGTTATTTATCGAAAGATTCACGACCAATAATACGCGGGAGAAGCGCGAACTTTATTATTCCGATCGGAGAGTTGGATAGAAAATTGTTCACTTTAATGATACACATTTGACGTCTTTATCTACTACTAAGCGAAAAGGAAAGTTTAAGTAATAAAAATAAGTTATCGATCTCTCTCGAATATGCAATATCGAAGTAATATACGATTGACGAATATCACATTATACGGTGCATATCTGTGTAAGTTCGTTCGTCGAAATAGGATATATTAATCAGCTGTTGGAAAAAATTTGACTTTTTCGTTTTTTTTTTTTTTTCTTTTTTCTTTTTCCCACTTTTTTCACACTCACAAATATCACCAATTTGTAAATTTAATTATATATATATATATATAAAGAAAAAACAGAAAAAAAATGTGAAAATAAAATTACTTAGTTTCTCGAAAGACCAAAAATAATAATAATTCCAAAGATTCCAAATGAAATGAAAAAGAAGCGAACAAATGCAAAAAGACAAAATAAAAAGAGAAAGAATTCTTTCTTTTCTTTCTGTTTTCTTTTTTTTTTTTTTTTTTTTTTTTAAATACAAATCACTAAAACTTTGGTTTCTCGATCGGATGTATATTATTTCTTTTCTTTTTTTGATTCTTGGGGATTACGATATATCACTTCCTACCTTGTTTACTCTCGGAAGATATCTCGAAATATGCACTCTCGAACTAAGCTCCTCGTGCCACCTGATGATATATATTATAATCTATCTATATATCTATCTATCTATCTATCTATCTATCTATCTATCTATCTATTTATATATCTATATCTATATATACAAACATCTATATGTATATAGTTGTGGCACTTTTCTCTCTCTCTCTCTCTCTCTCTCTCTTTATCACGTTTATGTACCTTTATCTCTCTTTTATTTATTTTTTTATTTCTCTCTCTCTCTCTCTCTCTCTCTCTCTCTCTCTCTCTTTCTTAGTTTGATTTCTTTATTTTTTCTTCTTTTCGTTGCACACTTTTGTTTGTTTTATTTTCTTTTTCTTTTTTTCTTTTTTTCTTTTTTTTTTTTTTTATAATCTCGAAACTTTTCGTACGGCACGATACGTGTTCGAAGAGTGAGCCGTTGAGGGCTGTTGCACCCTCTATTATACCCCAAGCTCGAACCTTCCACCACCATCCACCATGAACATCATCCCCTCTTTCTTCTCCTCTCCTCTTACTTCTTCTCCTCCTCTAACTCCTCTTCTTCATCCACACCATCCTCTTCCTCCTCCTCCTCCTCCTCCTCCTCCTCCTACCACCTGTAGGTTCGAACACGTAACACGAGGAGAACCAGATAGTGAAACATATCATTCCCTATCGTCGAAAGAGTACACCTACACATCGTGTAGCTCACTCACTCACTCACTCACTCATTCGTTCACTCACTCACTCACTCACTCACTTATCCCTACAAAAGATCAACCCCTATTCACTTCTAAATCCTCTATTCGCTTGCTTGCATATGCGTTCCGATGGATTCTACTTTAAGTGGTGATTGTAGTAGTGGTAGTACTAGTGCTGGTACTGCTTCTGATGATGATAGTGGTGATGATTATGTTTGTGTGTTTGTGATCGTGATCTTTCGACGAGTCAAAGTAAATACTTTTTCGTTGATTTTTGTTCCCCTTTCCTTCTCTTTCTTTTTTTTTTTTTTCGAATCTTTGCATTGTTCTTATGGAAAAATATAGTATATGGATATTTTTTACTTGTGAATGAATTAAAAAAAGCAAAAAAGGAAAAGAAAAAAAATGAAGAAAGAAAGAGAGGGAAAGAAAAAGGAAAGTATACTTGATCTTGATCGATATTCTTTATATCTTATATTTCATATTTAGTTAAATATTATTTCGGAAATTTTTTTGCGATTGAAAAAAAAACGGCTGAGAGATTTTTTAATTTAAAAGATTTTTTAGCTTAAGATTTTTTACCAATCGGTGTGTTGTTCGAAGAAAGATGTATATATATATATATATATATATATATTTTTTCTTTTTTCTTTTTTTTTCAATGTGTCAAATCAATAAGTTGTCCAACTTTTATTTTATATTATACACACACACACACACACACACACACATGTATGTATTTAATTAATAATAATATTAGTAAGAGAGAAGGAAAAAGGGAAAAATTATTTATCTCAAAGTAATGCATTAGTAAGTTTTCAAATCAATTCTTTTTCTTTTTTTCTTTTTCTTTTCTTTTCTTTTTTCTTTTTTTTTCCCCCTTTTTTCTTCATGAAACGATTTTTTAAAATCCATTTTTTACGTA